TACTAGAAGACAGGGGAAAGTAGTTGAGCCTGCAACCAACAGGACCTAGAACAGCCAAGGCCAAGGAGCCTAAAATGAAATTTAGAATGAAAAAAAAAGCGCTAGGACTCTGTTGGATGTCATAAAACAAAGCAGCTAGCACGATACCATAATACATAGTATAATAAACATCACAAAACAATAGTGCAGTGCTAAGATAAATTAAAATGTATTTGCAATAGTGCAATGCAAATATATCAAACTCTTATGTGTCACCACAAATTGAAAAAATAAAGGAATCCAACTGCAAAGCCAAAAACTGTGAATTCAGTGGTTCTTCAATTTTGAGGGAAATGACAGATGTGAATGTTAAACGCCACCAAAACTTTTTAATGACGAACCACACAGCACCTCGGTGTACAACAAAGGGAGGCTTACCAGAATCAGATGACCCCCAATTAAGAGTCGTCAGTGTGTATCAATTCAAAATATCCAGCTTTCCTCAAAACCACATGTCAAACGATGGTACTGCTGCGTTATATCAGATCATTGTGCATTTATATATTCAGTTGGACACTGATTAAAATAATTCTCCATTTTTATCTCAGTCTTCGTGGTCCAAAATGTGATGCTGCTAGCAAATCAAAATTGTTTAAAATTGACAGTTCTGCAGCTGAATTGTTGCCATCTTAGGAACTAAGTTGTCCATGCATACATCTTCCCTTTATAATCTAACTGAAAACATGGAGCAGGGGCGGACTGACCGAGGGCCCGGGGTCAGTAGGGGGCCCCATGAGATGCCCCTGGTACCTTTTTCATAGGCTTTTTTGAGTTTGGGCAAGGACACAGGGGCCCCATGATCCCCTATTGCCCGGGGGGGGGGGCCCCATGAGTTGTCAGTCCACCCCTGACATGGAGTATATAAATAAGAATAATGTTTTTAAACTTTATGAAATTACAAAAAAGAGCAGCATAGCTGGTGTGTTTGGGTTTAAACACACTTTAATGTTTTCAAAATGTCTGGGCAGGGGTAGAGGGGGATTGTGCCATCTTAAAAAGATCAATTACAAAATGATCTGTCAGCCAATACACACACTTAGTTCAGAAACCTGGAAAGTGTTATTTGCCATAACAGTTGTTATTGTCAACCAGCAGATTGTTATTTTCATCTCTGACATTCCGATGGCTAATGAACCTTGTCTCAGAATCGTTGACATTCTGAGACTGAACCTAGTCTCAGGATCGTTGACATTCTGAGACTGAACCTAGTCGCAGAATTGTCCTCTAATGCCACCAAGAAACCATTCTAGAATCACATGAAGCCTTGGTGGGGTCTCTGACTTCACTGATTTTCTCATATACCCAGTATGGTAGATGTACTTCTTTATGTATGCAATATATGTTTCTGTTTGGTGTTGTACACATTTTGATTTAGCAGAGCTATTGAAGTGAACATGATAAAGTCTTCACTCATCTGTGTGCAGACATGGACATTGGCAGTGAGAAAATGAACAGCAATACTTCCCTAATGCACGTCTGCCCTGTGGCCACCCCCACTGTGTCTGAGTGACATCTCCATTTATCCATGGAGAACTATCATTCAAGAAAAAAGGTCACCTAGTGGCTTGGGAGTTACAGGGCTAAAGGAGGCTTTCAGTCATGTAGAATGAGCTGTCTAGCTATTAGAGCAGTACAAAGCAGTATATCTGTTTCAGCGGTGTGGACATTTTTGAAAAAACTACTTGTCCAGGGACTAAATCGGTGTCCCAATCTACTTGTCCCACATGACAATCTACTTGTCCTGATAAAAAAAAATAAATTTGAACCAAAGCAGTATTTAAATCTGAGGTGCTTTTAGGAATGTCTGGGGCTTTTAAAATCAAAAGGAGCTTTATGGTGACTTAAACGTGTAATAATTTTAATATTGCACTGTTTTTATCTCCTTCTCCCCTCCCTACCTGTCTCCAGCACCGCACACAGGGACTAGCAGGGAGGGGAGAGGCCTTGCAGTGTAATGAGCACTGATTGGGTGCTCCTCAGGAAAGGGGAGTGTGTGGCTTATCCTTTATCCCTTTTTCTGCTGTTTTTGCGTTTTTTGAACGTTTAAAAAATCATATTAGGCCTAAAGATTACACAAAACCCCAAAAAATTATATATTTTCTGAAAGCAGACACCATAGAGAATATAATAGCAGTAGTTTAAATTTTTTATGTCGCATGATATTACCGCAAAGTTTCAGTAAAAAATACAAGTTAATTTTAGGGCACAAAAAAAAGAAATAAATTATCCTATTTTTTTGTAAAATATAAAAAACAAGGTTGCACCAAGTAAATAGATACCCAACGTGTTAAACCTTAAATTTGTGCGCACACGTGAAATGGTGACGAACTTCAGGACCCCATATTTTCTATAGGCAACACTTTTAAAGCCCCTTATGGGTCATCAGTATAGTGTTATGGAGGAGGTCTGGTGCTAGAATTATTGTTCTCATCCTGGAGTGTGCGGCGATATGTAACATGGGTATTGCAATCGACATTTTCATGCATAGGTGCCCCAGCATGTTCTTTTACGTTTGTACGTGTATATGTGGGGGGCCTCAAATTGTTTTGGGGGGGATGTTATGTGCTTGGGTGTAACTTTGTTGTTTTAGAATTAACAAAAAAAACTTTTTTCTTTTCTTTTTTTATTTTTTACTTAATTTTTTTTTTTTCATCACATAGGGGACAAAGTCCCCTATGTGATGATTTTTGGTGACAGGTTGCCCGCAGCAGGGCAGAAGGATAAAAAAAAACCTACCCGCCCAGTGCCCAGAACTACATGTCCCAGGCGTCGGGCGATGTAAATTGAACATCCCTGTGTTTGTCTGAGAGTCCCTCTCTATCTTGAACATATTCTACTGAAAATTTAGCTCCAGCCATGGATCCTCCTGTCTTTACAAGAAAATAGCCCCTCCCATTTAATTTCCCATGGTCAGGTGATGTGTTGAGTCCTGAGTCTTCTATCCTCAAGACTGCAGAGTCGGAGGGTCCTTCATCAGGTGCCCATGTTGCTGCCTAGTTGATGTGGACACTTCCTAGTGGCTGACCAGTGGCTTGGTCCTCCCAGTTTCCAGATGACTGTACTGATGTGATGCCATCATTAGGAGAAGACTGGTCAACAGTGGGCACAGACAGCAGTGCTGGATTACCAGTCTCTAGTCACATAGGAGGTGCAGCAGTGTCATCAGATTTATGTGAGAAAAACTGATTTAAAGCAGAACTAAACCATCCTATCCTTTTCAGCCAAAGAGGCTACCATCTTATCCTTTGTTTGATCGTCAACTGCCATGATGCTGCACGTGTGACCAGTTATGACTACAGCCATTTGATGATTTGAAAGTTTGGCTGAAAGCACAGGCAAATGTGATAGTCAGCATTTACAGCATGCCGGGAATGTAACTGTTTTATATAATAAAATTCCCTGATATTTCAGTTTTGGTGAAGAATTAAAATTACCGGTCAACACACCTCAGAACCAACATGCCATTCCAGGAAGTACTGTATATACTTACCCTGGATGATGCCTAAACAGGGATAGGGTTGGCCTTTGGGAAAGAAAGAAATATTGTCCGGTGGGATGCTATGATCCGTTTAATAGGCAATAAAAATTTGTAAGCATTACACATTCTTTGGCATGCAAAAGAAAGCATGACTTACTCTGAGTTCACTTAAAATTATTGGAAATAATTCAAACCTCCCACTGAAAATACAAGTGGGGTGGAACACAGAAAGTAGAAGAATAGATTTTAAGTATGTGTTTGGAATAATTTATTCAAATTAAGCTTTAATTCTGGCACAACAAAAACAATTTGGACAGCTGGTCTGTAAAGGAATAAAATAAATCATGAAAAATATTAGCACACACATCTAACTGGTAATAAAAGTGAGGTTCTATTCAGGAGAGCACAAATTGAAGCTTCTTGATTCATGGATATAAAACATAACTTTTTGAGGTATAAACAGTTCATAAGCACTAAAAGTTTTTCACAGTTAAAGTAGAACTACAGGCAAAACTTTTTTTTTTTTTTTTTCATTTTGGATAGAGTAAGGCTGACCATACACTATACAATTTAGATTTACCTTCAACAATGTAGTGCAAGGGCCTGCCTAATTAGATACAATTGAAAGTGTTGTTTAGGTTTGACCTCATATTATATGGTTTTTGGTAAAGCAATATTCTCAAGAAAATTGTATAATGTATGGCCAGCCTAAGGGAGGGGTATAATACCTGTCAAGTTTTTTAGCCATCTGTGTACAATTGGGGAGATTTCCCATCACTTCCTGTCCCATATCCACAACAGGAAGTGAGAGGATGTTACTCCAAAGTGAGAGAAATAATTGTTTTCACTAGAACTAGTTGTCCCCATTGGAAGATTTCCCCTCTATTCCTGTTCTTGTGAAAACCTAAAATTTGGGATTTTTTTTGTTTTTAGTCAAACAAATAGAGAATGTGAATCTTCTTATTGGGGTTACAGACAGCAATAGAAACATGACAGATGTTCTAATCTCTTCCCACTGTGTAAAAAAAAAACTTTTGCCATTAGTTATACTTTAATTAGCCATTTCATAGAAAACAGTAAGTGTTATCTTTATGTGATATTTTGGTTTCTGAAATGTACATTTTGATAAAAATTATCAGGCAGTAAAAAAGTAGCTATACTAACTTATACATTTTAGTGAACTCACCCTAAATACAACTACTATATTGCAAAATCAACACATGGAAATATCTAGATGATGACGGCACACATTCGTATATGGTTATACGATATGAATGTTTGAAATTTTTTTCCAGTTGCCTGGAATTCACAGAAACATCATAACAAGCTACTTAGACAACTGTCAAACTTTTTGCATCTGCTTAATTTCATAGGATATCAAGGGCAACCCCAGATAAGCCAGTGTATGTTTGGTTTACATGATTGATTACTTCATATGGCAGAATTTTTTTTTTACATTTTGTTCATCTTCTTCTTTACATAGGTACTTCATTGCCATAGAAGATAACAAAATATTTCCTCTAACTGTTGACAAGTAAGTTATTTTTTCTCCCTATTTCTCCTACAAACATGGTGATTGTTTTTAAGTAATAAAGGTTAAAATGTCAAATCTGAGATTAAAAATGTTTTTTAATCAGCTTCTTCTTATGAATCTGTCAGAAACCCCTAGACATTATGGTCTATTGCATGGTTGAAAAATAAACAATGGCAAGCATGCATACCATGTACAATTTAGATACCAGATTCTTCACTGCCTTCTACACCCCTTCCTGTTATTTCTTCTGATTCTTACACTTTTTTCTTTCCTGTAAAACTTCTCCAAAGTTGCAAGCACATGCTCTTCTGCTCTGTCCTCCTATTGGTGGAGAGGAATTGCGCACACATGCCACACAGCTGTGATGCCACAATAGGACTCCCCCTATACAATCCTTAATGACGGCATCTCCTGTAGGCAAGAGGACTAAAGGAGGTACGACCATGACTACCAAATCAGATGAAGTTATTGGATAATGCTAGGCGTCATTCAACCCGGAAGTGCAGTGTTGGATAGACATTCATAGAGGAAGGAAGTATGGCACATCAAAGAGGAAGGGATGTATTGAGCAGAAAAATCTGCCATTCTTATATTTGCATGGCTAAAGCTCCATTCACACATAAGCAATGCTATTGCATTGCATTTTTAACACTTTTTTTGTGCATTTCTAATACAGTTGCGCTTTTTGTTATTGTGTGTTTTGCGCCCATTTTGGCACTCAGAAAACATGCCAGGAAATGCGAGACCATTACCCTTGAGGCACCACAAGCATGTAATGTTTTTGCACGTTTTTTGCTTTTTTCTGCTATACCCAGGTGTGAACAGGGTCTTAAATTATATGGAAACCCTCCCCTTGTAAAACATCCCATTCTGTTTAAAATAGAAATGAAAGGCAAAACATATTTTGTGTGTGTGTGTGTGTATATATATATATATATATATATATATATATATATATATATATAATAGTTTTTCCCCTCTTTATAAGTGATCACATACCCTCTGTTTTCAGCATAAAAGCTAGGGGAAGAGACACAGAAACACACTAATCTTCCCAGTGAATGGCTGCGCAGGGGAAGGCATGTCAGCACAAGCCTGATCTTTGAATTAGCTCCCAACACAGCCAGAACACTGACAACATCCTGCCTGGCGTAGTCAGCTTTTAATAGGAAAGCAGAGGGATTGGCAGGAACAACAGGTGTGTCATAAACAGGAAGCAATACAAAGAGAACAGAATAGTTTTTCATACAAGTACATGGTACAGCAGACTCATATCAGGAATATGAAATGTTGGGCTTACATATTCTTTACGGAGGGGTCAGTAGGAGAAATGAGTCAAACTAGAGTTGAGCTTTTAAGCTCAATTCCCACCTCCCCTCTCCTGCCCCTTGCAGCTTCATTTTAATGTAAGTCTACCTGTCATAAGAGAAATATGGAGGCTGCCCAAGCTGACCTCTCTTTTTTAATAAATGTGGGTTGCCTGCCTGTCAAACTAACCATCTTTCTTCATTAATTTTAGTCACTGACCCAGAACATATGTTCCGTTGAGAGCATCTAACTTTTTTTCTGACTTAACTCATCTGCATGCTTGCTCTGGGTCAGTGACTCAGAAAATGTTAAAGTAATGAATAAAAAATGTCACTGCAAAAGAAGCAGGTAAATACCATCCTGCTGTGGGTGCCGCTTTGATGAAAAGGAAATTCCACTGGAAGTCTCTTCAACTAACACTCCAAAAACCAACCCTGTTGTATGCTGTAATGATGTAGGGGGCACCAGGAGAAGCCACTGAGTGCAGTGGAGAGAATAGCAGTCAATACAGCAGTGTCTTAGTCTCCCTTTGCAGATATACAGCTTTGATGCTGTAGGCACAGGAGTACCTAGACACATTCACATACCAGCAATTGCATAGCTATTTTTCTAGAGGAATTCCAGACATAAGGTGCATTTTATTAGAGTACTGCTTAGGCACACTTAACACTTCTAAAATGTCCCTATACTATAGCAAACTTTCACCGTTTGGGGTTGATTTACTAAAGGCACATGGGCTGTACACTTTTCAAGGGAATCTTAGTAAATTCAGTGAAAAGTCAGTTTTCAAAGAATACTCAATCAATTGAAGGAAAATTTTAAGAAAAGGGATTTTGTTTTGTTTTTTTGGATAATGGATGTTAGCACTTCATTCACTAAGCTAAGGGACAAATCCCTAGCAAACTGAACAACTAATTTGCCATTAGTAAATCAACCCCTTTGAGTCTAGTTCTGCTTTAAAGCAAATGAGCCAACGTACCAGACAATATAATAGCAATTTTAGGGGGAAGTCAGCAATGGCAAACATACTTGGTACACAAATATATGTGTATATGGATAGAAAAAAAACATTTTTTACGATGATGAAAGGATATATTTTTCATTTACATTACTTTTTTTTAATCTGTTCCTTAGAAGACTTGATGCAATCAGAAGACCTCCCTATATAAGGTAAGACCAGTCTTTTTCAGCCATCTCAACACAGAAGAACCCTTGAAATATATTTCAGGTCTCAGGGAACCCCTGCTAAAAATTACTATATCTACAACTCATGATACATTAGTGTGATGGTCAGTGAGAAGAATCACCCCCTTACAGATACCTATAAAGATCAATGGTGTCAGTGGGAACTTATCTGAGAGGTAGAAATTTCTCGTTGCTCAAGTTACCTTGGAGGAACCCTAGGGTTCCATGGAACCCTGATTGAGAAACCCTGATTTAGACTCATGGGACAAGAGAGGAAATATGTACTATGCATTGTAAATTTTATTACAGGTATTTTATAGCGCTGTCAATTTACACATCGCTTTACATACAGTATATTGTACATTCACATCAGTCCCTAACCCTCAAGGACCATATAATCTAAGTTCCCTAACTCACATTCATACATATACTAAGGCCAACTTAGACAGGAGTCAATTAAACTACCAGCATGTCTTTGGAGTAAATGTACTAAACTACTCTTTGTTTTCCCAGTGTTGCAGGTGATGCACCTCCTGCAAGCTGCGTGTTTAGTCAAGTTATGAACATGGCCGCTTTCTTAGGTAGGCATGCGTGAAATAATGTTGCCTTTTTCTAGTTCGTAACTAAAAAAAAACGAATATGGATAATTATTTGTATGATTATCATTTTCTAAATTTGATTATTGATTTGCTCAATAGCATAAACATTTTTATGATCAGGAACACAACATAGTTTAGTAACCCATAGCATCCAGTTAGATTTGTTTTTAACCAAAGTCAAGTCACTATCTAAGGAATTGTTTTTTTTTGTAATATTCACTTTACATTTTTGAATAAAAGTTTGTTTTTCCATGCATTCATTCTCTGGTTTCATTACAGCCAGCACACTGCATAGCACATAATGGATATCCAATGACCACAGCTGGCTATTTACTGAATTCAATGGCCTATGATTGCACTGTGCAAATCCAAATTGTACTGAAAACATGCTGGGAAAGTAAGCCCAGATGTCTCCAAAATGTGGTTGGCATGCAGAAAGGCATGAATGTGTACATCGTGCCGCTCCCATTGCTACGGATAGGATGCAGTTTAAGAAATAGCTGTAGTTATTGAGCAGTCATCATGCAGTAATCGTAAAGCAGGATTAAACTGAAAGCTGTAGCATAAACGTATGCATGAACTAAGTATAACAAAACTAGAAGTCAGATTTGGTTCAGCAGTGCAACCATTAAACTGAATTCCATAAGTTCCATCTGAGAGCGCTTCATAATTGCTCACAGAAGCCTGCAAGTGATTCGTTCAGCAAAATAAAGCAGCAATTGCAAACTCCTACATGCACGACCTTGTGTGTCAATGACCATCAGAATTTCACTCTAGGTATTTAATGAGCTATATAAACAGTCCAACTGAAATTGAGAAGTGCAAAAAAACATTTTTAAATATATAATGGATGTTATTTCACATTTACTGACCTAAGAATCACTAGTGATGGATATAAATTACTTGTCACAGTTGATAAAGTCAGTAGGTAGACAATTCTTTTTTCATGACCTGAAAAAAAAATAAAATAAAGGCCTTGTAGTGTATAGATCTGACTCACAATTAACAGAGCGCATTACATGAGTTGACATACGCCATGAAGGAGCACTTTCTAATGGTGTTAAGTTAGTACTTACACAGGCTTTTGTGCAAGGCATGGCCATCTATTACTTGGCAGGAGCCATAACTAATCCATCTAATACTGACAAACAGCACACTTAGAAGAACACAATCAATATGCCTTGATGTAGTTAGGAAGACTCTTTGAAAATCATTTGATAGGTGTAGCCATTGAAATGAAGGGTTTTAAATGATTAAATATTGCTGCTTTTTTTTTAGTACAGGATGTCTCAGCCAGGGGCGGACTGACCATTTGGAAACTCGGGCACTGCCCAAGGGCCCGGGTTCAGTAGGGGGCCCCATGAAATGCCCCTGGTACCTTTTTCATAGGCTTTTTTGAGTTTGGGCAAGGGACAGAGGGACCCCATGATTCCCCTACTACCCGGGGGCCCCATGAGTTGTCAGTCCGCCCGTGGTCTCAGCTCACCATTTTATGGAGTGATGATAACTGTTACTGATTTTGTTTGCTTTATACATAGTTTGTGTCTCATTGAAGAAGTCTTGCATTAACAGAATTCCTTTGATTCTAGCCTTAATTATCGCTGTTCTGCGTTTCATACAATTGAAGCCAAAGACCATCAGCCCCTGGCTCAGTATCAGTGGACTTGTGGCCTTATGTTTGACATCATTTGGAATGACATTGTTGGGTAATTTTCAGGTAATTGGTTGTTTATTTTCCAGGATATGTATCTTTAAACCTTCTGGATTTCCCTAATAATTAAAATGTTACACTAATTGAGCTTATAATTTAATGCTAACATTAAAATATAGTATATCTAAAGTAAAAACTTTTTCTTATTTGGATAGAGTAGGGGAAGGTTATAACTGCTGTCAGTTTTTGTTTTTACCTTCGCTAGGAATATTTCCATTCATTTCCTGTCCTCTAGACCTAACAGGAAGTGAATAGATATCTTTCCAATGGGACACAGAAATAACCTGACAGTGGTTACAACCATTCTATCCAAATATAATATATAAATAATATATAAATTGCCTTTAGTTGTACTTATTGTTTATGTAGCAGTTGATCTGACATTCACCAAACATTCACTGCAAGTGAAGATTCCTGGTGCATGCGTTTTTAATGACAGTGAATAATTTACCACCACTGAATGTTTAGTGAAATGTTCCTAAGTAAATCTATATTAACCAGTGTGTTTACTATTCCTTAAACGGTCAGCAGGACATTTCCAGACAGAGACACCCCCCATGTAACCTATTGACCTATTGTCTGCGGCTGGTTCAGGCTTTATTTCTTCTATTTAACCTGGTGATCTAACCCAGGGTTTCTCATCCTTTTTCACCTTGGAGGAACCCTTGGCAAAAAGTTTGAGATTTCAGGGAACCCCAGAAATAATGTTCAGATCTACAGGTCACAGAACGTTGGTGTGATCAGCAAGCTGTTGATATAACAACAATTATTTTTAGTAGTAGAATTAAATAATAGAATCAATATTATTATTATTATTATACAGTATTTATAAAGCGCCAATAGTTCACTCAGCGCTGTACATTACAAAGGGGGACAGAACATGTGACAGAACAATACCAATACAATGCAAAACATGAGGGGATCGAGGGCCCTGCTCTTTCGAGCTTACAATCTAGAAGGGACGGGATAGTGGTACAGGAGGAGATATCTGTGGGGGATGGAGTGGTAGGAAGAGTGGAGGAGGTCGGTCAAGTTAGCAGGGGGTAGGCTTCCCTGAAGAGAAGGGTTTTCAGGGTGCGCCTAAAGGAGAGGAGAGTAGGTGATAATCTGATGGGTTGGGGAAGGGAGTTCCAGAGGATGGGTGACACCCTGGAGAAGTCCTGTAGGCGGGCATGGGAGGAGGAGACCAGGGAACTAGAGAGAAGGAGGTCTTGTGAGGAGTGGAGTGTGTGTGCTGGGTGGTACTTGGATATTAGGTCAGTGATGTAGTTCGGGGCAGTATGGTGGACAGCTTTGTACGTCAGTGTTAGGATTTTAAATTTGATCCGTTGCGCAATCGGAAGCCAGTGGAGGGATTGGCAGAGGGGGGTGGCGGAAACGGAGCGGTTGGAAAGGTGAATGAGTCTGGCAGCCGTATTCAGGATCGACTGAAGCGGGGATAGCCAGCAACGAGGCAGGCCAGTGAGCAGGGAGTTGCAAAAGTCGAGTCGTGATATGATGAGGGAGTGGATGAGCTGTTTAGTGGTTTCTGGGGTTAGGAACGTGCGGATTTTGGCGATGTTGCGGAGGTGGAGTCTGCACGAGTTAGTTAAAGATTGGACTTGGGGCTGGAAGGATAGGTTGGAGTCCAGAATGACACCAAGTACTCTGGCCTGCAGGGCGGGTTTGATATTGGCGTTTGTTGGGTGTGATGGAGAAGTCAATGGGGGGTGGGGTTCGGGCTGGGGGGGGAAGACAAGAAACTCGGTTTTGGAGAGGTTCAGTTTAAGGAAGTGGAGTGACATCCAGTCAGATATGTCGCTCAGTAGGTGTGTGATTCGGGCAGAGACCGATGGGGGGGGGTGAGGTGGGGGGTTGAGAGATAGATTTGTGTGTCGTCGGCATAGAGGTGGTAGTTGAAGCCGTGAGAGTGTATGAGTTGGCCAAGGGAGGAGGTGTAGATGGAGAAGAGAAGGGGCCCAAGGACAGAGCCTTGAGGAACCCCAACAGAGAGGGGGAGGTGGTAGCATTATAGGCAACGCTGGAAGAGCATTGTGACAGGTAGGATGAGAGCCAGGAGAGAGCAGAATCTCTGAGGCCGAGGGAGTGTAGTATTTTGAGGAGGAGGGGGTGGTCAACTGTGTCAAAGGCCGCAGAGAGGTCAAGGAGTAGGAGCACTGAATAGTGGCCATTAGCTTTGGCGGTTAGAAGGTCGTTGGAGAGTTTGAGTAAGGCGGTTTCGGTGGAGTGTAGGGGATGGAAGCCAGACTGTAGGGGATCGAGGAGGTTGTTGTCGTTGAGGTGAGAGCATAGGCGGGTGTAGACGAGGCGCTCGAGGAGTTTAGATGTAAATGGGAGCAGGGAGATGGGTCTGAGGTTGTTCGGGTCATTGGGGTCCAGGGAATGTACTTGTTTATTTTAAAGTTTGTGCTTGATTTTTTCTGCATGGATGCTCAATTCTGGGTCAGACTTGAGATAAGCAGTGTATAGGGAGGCCACAGGGTAAAGCACAGGGGGTTAGGAGAGCACACTACATGGGGGGTAGGGCACATTATGGGGCATACAGCAGGGCAAATTACAAAGGATCAGAGCACATTATGGGGTACACTTTACATGGGATCAGGGCACATTACGTAGGATCAGGGCACCTTACATGGGATCATAGTACTTTACATGTGGTCAGGGCACATGGGATCAGAGCACCTTACATGGGATCAGACCACCTTACATAGGATAAGGGTACCTTACATGGGATCAGGGCACCTTACATGGGATCAGGACACATGGGATCAGACCACCTTACATGGGATCAGGGCACCTTACATGGGATCAGGGCACCTTACATGGTATCACAGCACCTTACATAGGATCAGGGCACCTTACATGGGATCAAGGCACGTGGTATCAGAGCTCCTTGTATGGGATCAGGGCACATGGGATCAAAGCACCTTACATAGGATCAGGGCACCCTACGTGGTATCAGGGAACATGGGATCAGAGCACCTTACATGGGATCAGCACATATGATGGATCATAGCACCTTACATAGGAACCTTTTGTGGGATCGGGGCATATGGGATCAAAATACCTTACATGGGATCATGGCACATGGAATCAGACCACCTTACATAGGATCAGGGCACATGGGATCACCCCTACATGGGATCAGGGCATACCTTACATGGGATCAGAGCACCTTACATGGGATCATAGGTATAGGATAGGGCACCTTACATGGGATCAGCACAGTGCTCCATGGGATCATCAAAGCACCTTACATAGGATCAGGGAACCTTATGTGGGATCAGGGGGGAGTAGCACCTTACATGGTATTGGGCACCTTACATGGGATGCACACATCATTGGATCAGAACCTTATGTGGGATCAGGGGCTTACATAGGTACCTTCATGAGGGGCACATGGGATCAGACCACCTTACATGGAATCAGGGCACATTCAGACCACATGGGATCATAGCACCTTACATAGGATCAGGGTACCTTACGTGGGATCAAGGCACGTGGTATCAGAGCTCCTTGTATGGGATCAGGGCACATGGGATCAAAGCACCTTACATAGGATCAGGGCATCCTAAGTTGGATCAGAGCACCTTACATGGTATCAGGGCACCTTACATGGGATCAGCACACATGGGATCATAGCACCTTACATAGGATCAGGGAACCTTATGTGGGATTGGGGCATATGGGATCAGAGTACCTTACATGGGATCAGACCACCTTACATAGGATTAGGGCACATGGGATCAGAGTACCTTTCCATGGGATCCTGAAACATGGGATTGGAGCACCATATATGGGATCAAAGCACCTTACATGGGATCAGGGCAGCAACCACCTTCATTTGCAGAGCTAAGCAGGGAAACTATGGAGGAGTCCTCTTCTGTTTGTGTTGCTGTGTAGCAGTATTCCTCGCCAGCCCCTCTTCCCCTTCTCCCTTCCTGACCATCCCAGCTGATGTCGCATACAAGCATCCGGGATAGACAGGAGGGGATGAGGGGCCAGCGGGGAACAGCACTGCGCAGCTACACAAACAGAGCTGCTTGCATGTGTAACTGCGTGTATGTCAGCATAGAAGATGTGATCTACCTGTCTACTGCCTGTAACTGACGGGTAAATCAACACAGAACCCTGGGGGACCTCCTGCAGAACCGTAGGGTTCCAGTTGAGAAACACTGATCTAACCAATAAGTCTGTTGTTTTCCAACAGAACAAGCTGTCCTGCAGATGTAGCAGTAACCCTAGCGTTTCAGTTGAAAAACACTGATCTAACCAGTAAGTCTGTTTGTTTTTCAACAGAACAAGCTGTCTTGCACATGTAGCAGTTAGAGGGTTGAGACAAATTATCACTGACAGAGGTGCTTACCTCTCTTGCTGTAACTACGTACAGCAGTGTGACTGGAGTTTGACTTCAATTTGTTAGTATATCTAAATCTGCTAGTGCATCTAACACTTCCAGATTAACAGCTTACCAAATGTGTCTCTGTTGCTCCTTCATCCTAATACAGGAGGCGAGTTATTGGTTGGATCACCAAGTGAAAACATAGGGACAAAAAACATAAAACAGATACAACCATCACATCTAAAGATTGTTAAGCTGCAATATTATACATTTTTGGTTTCAGGTTTAATACTTCTTATGAATAAAGCCAGCTATAGATGGTTTGAATCTGAACCGGACGAGATTTGAAGCATGTATTGGCAGGCTGAATGTACGCAAGTTGATCATTCATTCAACTTGGGCGCAAACTGCCGGATTTTGCACGTTATTAACGCTAGTAGCTGTTATAGTGGCTAGCAATAATCGCTGTGTGCTCCCAGCAGGGACAGCTTCCCCCGCCAGGAAAACATAATGGCCCAGCGCGGGAGGGATTGCCCAGTAAGCACTGTCTGTGTTGATGAAGGAATCAAGCAAATTTATCTACAGCCTTTATATCTGTCTATGGCCTGCCTAAGGATTTATTTGCAACTGCATTGTTAGAACCACACTATGGAACCATAAATGTACCTTCTATAACCGCCAACAATTCATAACTTTTTCAGTATGTACCCTAAGGATTGTAACATTTTAAAATAGCTAACATTTTCTGGAGAGCTGCTTTGAAAGCCATTATGACTCTCTGAGTACTGTTTTCAGAAAGAAAATTCTTGTATGCCATTTTTATGTTTTTGTAAATAGTCTTCTTTCTAAGCCATGGCCCTTTAATCTTGTTAAAGAAATTGTGTTTAATAGCATATCCTTCTGTTTTTCTTCTGTCAGTTGAAGAGCAATGAACTTATACATAATGTTGGCACTTCCATGACCTTTGGGTTTGGCACAATAGCCTGCTGGATTCAGTCCATCCTGACCTTTAAAATAAACATTAAGAATGAAGGAAAAATAACTGGAATCCCTAGAGTTATATTATCAGCCACAATAACACTCTGTGTTATCATCTGTATCCTTTTTATTCATGTGGAAAATGTATTGTCTGTGTCAGTACAGAACATCCATTAATGTTATTCTGAGTAACAACAAGCCTGAAAGTTCCACAGTTCAGTATAAATCTTCCTGAAGTAGAAAGCATGCCCTCAACTTAAGCAATATATCAATTTCAAGGGTAGATTTAAAGCAGGGGACTTTGTCACCCCATGAAATGCTCATCTGTCTAATTTAATGACCTGGAAATAAGATCCCTGCAAGTAACAATTTGAAGAAGGTTTGGTATTGTTCCAATGTAGAGCTAAGTATTCAATAAAGCAACAAGGCCACTTTTACACTCCACTTACTTCATGGGTAAGGAGGGAGTTACAAATGGAAATAATGTAAACACTTTAAAGGTACCTGTGATGACCACTGACATAATCTTTTTAATTTATTTAAAAAATTCTACAAAGATCTCCATCGAGATACTTCCCCTAAAGAATGTGAGCAAATTTTTCATATTGTCCATAAAGGATCGACCAATATCTCCATTCAAGAGACAAACCATAAGTTAATGGCCAGATGGTATAGAACCCCGGCCTTATTACACAAATTTAATTCCTCCAACTCTAATCTCTGCTAGCGATGTCAACAGGCAATTGGCACACTTAACAGATATAAGTATAAGATTGCCCACTGATCCAACCTTTTTGGTCTCAGGTACACTCTCATCACTTTCAAAGTGACAACTGAGACCCTACTCTATTCTCCAGAACAATACTTACTACATCTAACAGCTGTTCCTCTGAAACTCACTTGCGATGCACATGCTAAATGCGGCCAAAGCGTGTGTACCAGTTCACTGGGGTTCCCCCCACACCACCCACAATGGTAGAATGGTTTTCACAACTGTTGAAAGTAGCTGAAATAGAGGAACTAATTTCTATTGCTAAGGATTCTCCTTCTAAATTCACAAAAACCCAGGCCTGCTGGAGATATTTCCAAACAACCTCAAATTCCAACGGATAGCGTTGCCCACTCCTTGTCCAGACAATGATAGTGCCACCCCTTCCTGAATTGCAATAATCTATAGAATGAACCACATATAACTCTCAGGCAATACTGAGCTGGGTGGGGCTGCTATATGCCCCCCCCCCCTTTTATACTGTATCCTTTGGAAGGGCCTTGATGTCAGCGGCGGAACCACCTCTTTGCCAAATCTTGCCCCCCCCCCCTCTTTCTCTCTCTCATATTTCCCACTCCTCTTTTTATTCTCCCGATTATTGGTACAGCTTTATGCAGGGGGGATTACATTGGCCACAGTGCAAATAGTTGACCTTGAGAACGCCCCCTGGAAGTTGATACCTCCGTCAGCTATATCAAGAAACTGCAGTTTCTGGAATCAGGGGGCCCTCATGCCATTCCCTTTCCATCTTACTTCCTGTAGCAATTCCAAAATGTTATTGTTACTTGTGTTTCTCAGCTCATATACAAACTCTGGCTAATTAGCAAATAGAAAACTGTATACTTGATTCTGTGGCTCTATTCATTGGATCTAATGTAATTACCCTTGAATTGTACCTTTTTGATGTCTAATCATATTTGATTCTGTATTGACAAATTTATTTCAATAAAACTTGTTTGGAATAAAAAAAAAAATTAAGTTCTATTAGAGCACAGCTACACAGCCAAATTAAATGTTTTACTTTTGTGAGATTTAACCAGTTTTGAAGAGCAAGCTCATCAGGCTGGAGCTACACAGGCAATTTTTAGTAACTCAGTCTTGCTATTAAAACCACTAAGGGATTGCTATGAGTTGCAATTGATTTTAAACCAGGTGGAACAAATGGCTCCCTATGGAGTACACCACTCTAGTAGTATGCAATAGAATCTTGCAGCGATGAACTGCACATGATCACAGCACTGTTCAATCATGCAAGAATGATCACTACTACATTCTTACTTTTGTAGTGTACCCCATAGGGAGCCATTTATTCCATTGGTTTAGTGATCAGTTGCTAAAGCTAGGTACTAGCATATCATTTTCCTTAGGGACGCATCAGGGCCAGTGCCCTGTATGGTAATTTCCCAACTCAGCCTGTGTTCGGTCTTACAGCTCTCTCTTCCTGCAGGTTCTGCTCTACAAGAGAACAGAAATGTACAGTACGTGATTTACCTATAGTGACTGTATATTTATTTTTGAGCTTTTTTTTTTTATTGTCACTTTACACTATTAAGAAAATGCCATGCTTTCAGACTTTTACAGAATAAAAAAAACAGACCATGTAGAGATGCATCATAATTTTGATGAAAAAGGTGCATCTAGTTGTAAAGGGAGCTACAGCCACTGAAGCCAACATTTCTAGGAATGTCAATGTCCTATATACCACACTGCACTTGGTTCCTCTTGCCAAACCCCACGTCACTACAGGACACAGTAGCGATGTTTGGACCTAAGTTAAATTTCTGTTGAGCAATTGTCTGTTAATTATTCACTGGGCAAGTTGCTCAATGAATGTTTAATAAATATTTCCCATACATATTAAATGAGTGAAACTCAACTGTTGACCTGTGGCCCACCAAACCCTATGTATCCTTTCCAGCTTAGAGAGGGTAAACAGATATCAGCTGCTTTATCTTTCAGATTATGTATTGTGGTAACTAGCACCATATGGCATACTTAGTGACGTTTTTGATGGACAGTGTTCACTGCTATACAGTTGTATTAAAAATGAACTGTATTTTAAAGAAGGTCCTCAAATATTTGCAAGATAAAAATAAAACTAAGTAAATATTCTTGTCACATGCTTTTTTCAAAGAAAAAAGTGACAATTCCCAGTGGATAAATCAGAGGACCACATGCTAACCACCCCTTTCAGGTTCCCTCACATGGCATTTGATGATGGTTCAATAATCAGTAACCTTGGTAGGTACCCTGAGCCTAAGTAGGATTGTTCCCTTGATGTAAGTATAGCTTTTGAGGTTGTCTGCTGTTTACACAGTTATACAGTATTAGCTGATGAGATGGATTGGCTAGATCTTCCACATTAATTTAAATACTAGTAAGAGCTGCATCTACTGGACTGCAAAATAAAATAATACTATACACTCATTTCTAGACAAGAAATCCGAATCCATTTGCTACAAGTATGGGTCAGAATTTGGTGTTTAATTTTTTTAGAAAGTTGGAAACTACAAAACTATGCTTGCTAAGATGTTAGAGACTTAAAACAGTCCTAAGGGCATATGCCAACAGGCTCTGGGTTTGTGTCAATGGACAAATCAAGCTTGATTTCTTGTGCAGGTCTGCATTCATTTGAGATCAGTGTTGGACGCTTGGAGATCATTCAGAATTATGTACACAGGCTGAATAGTAGTACTACTTGTAAGTAAACTGAGCTGTGACTGTATTTTATGTGCTTCTATACTGCAACACACCAGTCTTTCCTTTACTAGCACTCTACAGATTTCATCCTTGAATGGCAGAAAATGAACTTTTACGCACCAAGAGTCCAGTGGGTGCTTGTGATGTGTTTTATCATTTTTTTTTGGGACACTGGCAGTGGAGTTTAGACACTGTAGATTTGAAATCATTTGTGTTGAAAACCAGCAGCACCAGGAGATTTTTCACAGTATGTCTGAAAATATGTCTGACATGTCGGAATACCAAACAGATCAGTTGTAAAAGTTATGTTCACAGAATTTGGCCTGTAAACGTGGACACAAGAACACAATCTACAGCTTGGAGTAAATGTGAGGACAATTAAAAGGCGGTAACAAAGAACAGCGCAACATTTTTCAAACTTTCTTCAGTGTTCATTTTTAAAAAGATATTTTTGTTTGAAAGCTGGTAAAAAACTGCTGCCTAGTGAAAAATTTGCACCTGTGAAGAGAAAGCATTCCTTGGATTACTATAGTTCATGGATCCTGCGCAGAAAGCAATCCAAATCATTTTTATCTTCATTCCTGTGCAAAGATATACTGCTGTACAGAATGAAACAACAAGAATGTGGTCCAATGTGAGATTATGTTCAAGGATTAACCAAGACTGGCTAACTTGTTGAATATTGCCAATCCTAAACTAAACTCCAAGTTTAAATGCTTGTTTTGTCTAGGAGGATTAGAATAAGTACAAATAAATACCTTGTTCTTTATTCCTCAGTAGCCACAGCTCTCCATTGTTTCTGGGAAGAGTGTGGATTCTTGAAGTCCTCACGTACAATGTACATTATTCACATTGAGGTCGGAGTGGGAAGAGAGTTGACTTTGGGGATCTAGTCTTAAAAAAAGTGGGAGAGCCTGCAGGAGCAAGGAATAAGAAGAGTATTTGTATTAATTCCAGTCTCCCTAGACCAAATAACATTAATAACATGGAATCTTGAAGTCCTCACATACAATATACATTATACAAATTGGGGTCAGAGAGCTGCAACTGGGAAAGTTGGAATATAATCGACTGGGGATCTGGTCTTAAAAAACAGAGGAAGCTTTCAAGAGGAAGGAATAAATTAATTATGTGTACTTATTCCAGTCTCCCTAGACCAAATGAGCATTAAAAACATAAATACAACAAATCCTTTTTTTGCTTTGAATAGAGTGTGCAATTTTTTTTGGATAGAGCTGTCCTAGGTGGAGACACTTTTTGGGACAGAAAATACTGACAGAAGCTCTGACCCCTTCCTGTTGTACATGAAAAAGTGTTTTGCCATCAATGTTCATTTTCCCCCACTTCCTAAAGGCACCAGTCACCAGAACGGGAAGTGAGCTCTTCCAAACATAGACACAAATAGTGTTAAAGGCCTGAGTTAATTTCTAACCTTACTATATCCAAGGCTAAAATAAAAGGGTTTTGGCTAAATGTTTACTTTAAGTTAGAGGTTTACAAATTCTAATAGATTGTGAGGCTGGTTCAAGAAAACAAGAAAAAAAAAGGTGTGGCCATCTTGACAACCAGTTGGATTTCATGTTTCAGATAAGAGCTCTAAGCTTCTACATGTTTAAAAGCATAAGAAAATAATACTTGTTAAAGCATGTTGAAACTTCGTCATCTGTTAATGTTTTCTGTTGCCCTACTGGTTAGATTTCCCCTCACTTTCTATCTTAGTGGCACCGCTATCATCAGGACAGGAAGGTGAAGATTCCATCAGGGATACAGACAGCAAAAAAATTTAATTTTTCCATTCCAGATTTTCTTTTTCAACATCGCCAGCAGGAAAGTAAGTGGGGGAAAATCACTCCTGCGAGACCTCAGCAGAAAAAATAAAAACAGATTCTACCCCTTCCCTACTCCATTCAAAACTAAAAAGTTTTGACTGGAGTTGCACTGTAATGTTGATTTATTACTATTAAGGCAGCTTTAACTAAGTGCATACACATTTACATTTTTACAAAATGCACTTACTGCATATATCTTTACCATATATTTGTTGAAATTATATTTCAAAATGCCAGGCAGCTGTTGTTATATTTTAATGTGCATATTAGAACAATGGAATGGCCGTACCCTTAATAATGTGACTATTCAGTATTCTATAGTTATTTCTTTGTAAACATGTTCTGTTTACAGTCTAAACAGATTACAATAGTATACATATATTTTATTGCATTTAATGAAATGCCACTTAGCAAACAATCTGTGAGTAAGGATTTTTTTCCCTTACTACTGTAGTCTTTAATAAAAATCATGAAGGTTTAGGAAAAAGTAAAGCTGAAATTTAGGCAAGAAGCTAAATACACATTTGAGATACACATATGGAAAATGTTTTGCCTGATAATGGATTTGTATTTCTGTGTGTCCTTTCCTGAGATTTACACAGCACTACCAGGATGTTGACTTTTCTCTATGTCAGCTGAGCAATACAACCTGGTCATCTTCCTGCCCCTGTGACTGCACAGGTAAGGAGCTGAAGCAAACTTATTGGGTCATCACTGTACTTTCTCCTCTTGGCAGTGTGTTCTTTGTCAGCATATGTGCACACCTGATTGATTCTTTTTGCCCCTTCCTCTCAAGTGGACTGCTCTAGAGAAGATCAGAGGAGGCTGATGCCAAGCTGAATACTTACATCAATTATATTACGAAAACATTTAATAATTTTGTAATCAATACATACACTATATTGCCAAAAGTATTGGGACATCCCTTCAAATCATTGGATTCAGGTGTTCCAATCACCTCCATGGCCACAGGTGTATAAAATCAAGCACCTAGACATACAGACTGCTTCTACAAACATTTGTTGAAAGAATGGGTCGCTTTCAGGAGCTCAGTGAATTCAAGCATGGTATTGTGATAGGTTGCCACCTGTGCAATAAGTCCATCCATGAAATTTCCTTGCTACTAAATATTCCACGGCCAACTGTTAGTGGTATTATAACAAAGTGGAAGCAACTGGGAACAGCAACTCATGTAAGATGACAAAGCAGGGTCAGAGCATGCTGAAGCGCACAGAAGTCGCCAACTGTCTGCAGAGTCAATAGCTAAAGACCTCCAAACTTTGTGTGGCCTTCAGATTAGCACAACAACAGTGTGTAGAGAGCTTCATGGAATGGGTTTCCATGGCTGAGCAGCAGCATCCAAGCTTTACATCACCAAGCGCAATGCAAAGCATCAGATGCAGTGGTGTAAAACACGCTGACACTGGACTTTAGAGCATTGGAGGCATGTTCTCTGGAGTGATGAATCACGCTTCTCTGTTTGGCAATCCGATGGACGTGTCTAAGTTTGGTCTTTTTCAAGAGAACGATACTTGCCTGACTGCATTGTGATAAGTGTAGAGTTTGGTGGAAGGGGGATTATGGTGTGGGTTGTTTTTCAGGTGTTGGAATTGGCCCCTTAGTTTCAGTGAAGGGAACTCTTAAGGTGTCAGCATACCAAGACATTCTGGACAATTTCATGCTCCCAACTATGTGAAAACAGTTTGGGGATGGCCTTTTCCTGTTCCAACTTGACTGCGCACCAGCGCACAAAGCAAGGTCCATAAAGACATGGATGAGTGAGTTTGGGGTGGAGGAACTTGACTGGCCTGCACAGTCCTGACCTCAACCCCATAAAACACCTTTGGGATGAATTAGAGCAGAGGCTGCGGGCCAGGCCTTCTTGTCCAACATCAGTGTCTGACCTCACAAATGGGCTTCAGGAAGAATGGTCAAACATTCCCATAGACACACTCCTATACCTTGTGGATAGTCTTCCCAGAAGAGTTGAAGCTGTTATAGCTGCAAAGGGTGGGCCAACTCAATATTCAACCCTACAGACTAAGACTGGGATGCCATTAAAGTTCATGTGCGTGTAAAGGCAGGCGTCCAATACTTTTGGCAATATAGTGTACATGCAGTAATGTGTGTGTATTTTTTATTTGGGCTGTAGTTTAGCTTTAAGGTGATAATCCACTAAACTAAAGCCCCACTCTGAGCTGCTCTTAAATCTACTCTTGCAGTCTGGTGGGGTGTCCATCTCATGGGTTACATGTATTTTACAAATACTTACCCTATTCCTCACTTCTGCAGTCTTCTTCTCCTCTTCATGCAATTGGTCCTTTAAAGCCAATTGAATTCAGAGGATGGTAAGTGCCTGCCCACAACTTGGAGAGTTGGACAGTGGAGGAGAGCCATGGCTACCAAGAGAGTGAGGAATAAGGTAAGTATATGTGCTTTTTCTTTTCCACCCTAGCCATGGTACATTTAATCCATGCAGTGTGAAGGAAGAGGGTACGTTTAATAGCAGCACAGGGTTGGGCTTTAAAAGATAAGTAAAAAGCTGGTAGTAGTGTTGCTGTAACATGATATAGAACCCTGAAAAGTATGCTCACTTCTGGGCTATGAGGAGTGGAAACACTGCAATAGGACAGTATTCATTGCCTGAGCCAACTACTGGCAGACCTAAGCAGTGTCATATGGGAAACTGTTGGCATTAACCTATATGTAAATCTCTATCTTCAGAAAATTGGTACTTGCAAAGAATCCATCAGAAGCTACTTTGCAGTGCATAGCAGGAAAGCTAAGCGTCAGGTACAATCTGGCACCAAAAGGGGCACAATACTGAACTTATTATTTTGGATTATGTATTGCAGAAACATAGAAAAAAGTGTGATGCATTCATCAAAAATCATGTTTTTAAATTCAGCTAGCCCTAAATAAATCACCTTTCTGCAGTCCTCTGCACAACAGTACTCAGATTGGGAAAGGGAGGGAGGAATTAGGCACACATTGCTATCCTTGAAATCTTGCTGACAGAAGAAAAGTGATTACTCATCAGCAAGCTGCTATCTCCAGTTGCCTGGACCAAGCTGTAGGACTTAACAGCAGCAGAAGTCCAGGACATAGCTAAACTGAGTACCATTGTATTCTATATTAAAAGAGCTGAATTACAAATCCTTCTGCAGGTAAAACAGTTCACATTTCACCCTTATGTTACTGTGTATTTAGCCACTTGGGTGGAGTTCGGGTTAAAGATTGTCTGATATCTGTGATTTCCATAAATTCTGACTTAAGGTCTTCTACAGGATACTGAAGACAGTAGCAAATAACCTTGGAGGACCTCAGTCAGAGTAAGTGTATTTGTAACGCTCTCAATA